GGCTCAGCGGTCATGGCTCACGGGCCCAGCCGCTCCGCGGCATGTGGGATCTTCCCGGACCAGGGCACGAACCCGTGTCCCCTGCATCGGCAGGCGGACTCTCAACCACTGCGCCACCAGGGAAGCCCCCAGCCTTATTCTTAAATAAATATTTTCTAAAGAAATATTTTCTCTAGTGTATATAGTATAATAATGATAATAATTATTATTTTATCCTATCACTTGGATATTTCCAGTTATAAAGCCCTTTATATACTTTTTTCCACTTTAACTTCAAAAAAATCTTTGAGGTAGTCTTATTATTATTTCCATTTTGCAGATGAAGAAACTGCGGTTCAGTGAAGTTCAGTCACACACACTGAAGTGCCAAAGCAGCCTGTATTCAAATCCCTATTTCCCACCTTTAAATATAAGGTTCATTCCACTAATCTATGAAACTATATTAAGAAAGGTCTTCAAATGACAAAGGTTCTTGCCCTCACTCCTTAGGAACACGGATGCTCTCACATCTGTCTACAGCCAACTAGCCTTGCTGTCCCATCTTTCCAATTGGCCTCTATTTTCCTCTCCTCAGTGCCACAAAGGTTTCTTCTTTCACAGAATCCAATTCCTATGAAAAGACCATTCACAGAGGCAGAAAGTGGCATGTTTCCTCACTTATTTAGGACATACTCAAGTGTGATTTTCCCCTTAAATTTTATTACATGTGCACGTTTCTCTTTGGGTTATATTACGTCTTCAAGGACGGAATTCTTATAAGAACAAAGACAAGAGGACTGGTTTCTTGTCCTGGTTTCTACATTATCGTGGATACATTATCTATCCTTTATGGACTTCGGTTTTCTCATCAAGAGGATGAGGTGCGCTAGGTGACCTCCCCCTTCCAGCTCTAACTTCTATGATTCTGTGAAGTCTCTTTTAGTTGTGATGGACGTATTCTATATGCAACCATTGATTGTTATGTATTTGCTGAAGGAATGATATATGCAGTTTAATACTTTGAGAATGGCTACTGGGATCAAACACAGCCAAGCACATTGTCAAACACACTTGGCTCTATTCCACCACTTTTGCTACTAGGATTTGGAAGAATAGCTGACATACATGTGCCAACACTCTCTGAGTGCTTCTTTTAAATATTAGAAATAAACTGCTGCAAACATTTTTACTTCGTTTGTACAGCTGAAAATTACTCATCTCCTGTTTGCTCTATAATAACCTAATTTATTTGTTGTCTAAATTAGGGTAAGCAAATTAGTCCATAAGTGAATTTCCTTGAAAACTGAAGACTACCTCATTTAAGTGCAGAAGTTATTTTCACATGAAATATTTTCAACAGAAGGTATTAAAAGAAACCAACTATTACACATTCTCCTGTTTCCTTAACCAGGGTAGTTAACCTCTTCTTAATTACCTATAAGGTCATCAACATGCCAAATAGTTATTACACTGTGTTAGACTAGATTTTAGCCACTATAGTGATACTTAAAGGGCCTACTGGAATGCCTAGGTCTATGTGTCCTTCCACTGAATGTGTACAGACTGCTGAGCTGAGTAACCCAAAAGTGAATCGAAGACCCTTGTCTACTTATATTTCCTCTTGCCAGCTGTTATATCTCATGATTGCCTATGAATCAAGTGGGCTCTAATCTGCTCCTTTATTTTAGGTAAATGACTTGAGGATGGCTTCATCTTTTCAATTAAGCTAAACTAAGGGCTCTGTGACATCTGTTTTACAGTCAGAAGCTGTTTCCATTTATTTCCAGACTCATGGTTATGTTCCCATATGGTGGTGTTGCTGGGAATCTGATTTGTAGATAAGGGGAAATTTCCTCTACTACCCTATCAAAGCTTCAAATGAGATATCGTATGTAAAGGAGCTCTAAAAATTATAAAGCTATGCAAAACAATAACCATCATTAATGCTACAACTATAATGATTCCAAACTTATCAGAAAAAATGTATAAATTTTTATTTGATAAAATAATCACTGCATATAATTGAATTTTCTTACTATAGGAACAGGTGAAGCATGTACATTTATACTATGGAAGATGTGCACATATAGATGTATACAAAAAACCTTGAGGCATTTAAACAATTTGAATATTCCAAAATATTAAATACTAGTATAAAATATTTTAAACCTTTCAAATGTCACTTGTACTTTAACAGGAGAATGGCAGGCTCTTCTTATGTGAAATTTAATATATTCAGTAGAATCATTTGAGTTTTGGAATCACCTTATTTTATAAGCCATAAAACAAACAGTACAATCAGTCCCTTTTTCATTGTTTTCAACAAATACTCTTAACCCTTGAATCCAGACTCAGGAAGAGACACTTTTCCTCTCCTGTCCAAGTGTTTCCTCTAAATGTGGTAACTGGCTTCACTTAAGGCCTATCAATGTTGCCAGTGATATAATCCTTCAAAGAGACAACAGAAACCTCCCTCTGTCCTAATCCCAGTGAGGGGTTGGTGAAGTTGATAACACTAACAATGCAAGCAGTTATCCAAGACACCATTCCAAGAGCAACTGTCCGTAATCCAAAATTGTACCATTAAAAAACAACAACAACAAATTAAAGGAAGTTTCAGTACTTTGGTTCTCTAACATTCTTATTTCATAAGAAAGCAAATACTATAAGAAACTAAAGTCAGTACAATTTATGAATATTACTGAGAATTTTATATCACTTTTTAAATACAACCATATTATGTCTAATTCTAAAAGCAATAATTACTATACTTATAGTGCAGGGTTTTCATGGCTCATCAATTTTTATAGCTCTGAAATTTGTTTCATAAGGAGACCTTTGTAATTCCTTGGTCTTGCTTACCTAACCCAGGCTTTGTATAAAGAATGTCTCTTGAAGGTTTCCATTTCCATGAAAACTTGCTAGGATTCTCTGCAGTGAAATCACTGGACGAAGTAAGTTTCAGCTGTCTTGAGTGCAATTTACCAAGGTATTGTTCATATTTAAGTTTGAGTATATATTATTTTTGAATTAATCTTTTTTTTCTTTATTGCACCAACATCTCCAATGTGTAGTACTGCTATGCATGAGCGCAGAGACCACACCAGAAAGTAAAAGCTATGGTATTGTCACTAACAGGTGGAAACAACAATGGTAACTCATGACAACAACAGTTTATTCCAATTCACACAAACTCTGTCTCCAACTATACAAGGGACTGTTTTATGGCTTTTTTTCCCCAGAGCCCTTCTTAGTATATTTCACTGACTACACCTCGAAAAACAGGAATCAGCAATTTAAAAAATAAGTTTGAGAAAACATAATAATTTATATAATAGCCAATCTTGAACTGACTCTTCAGTCTTGAATACTCTCACTAGAAATTATGACTGTGTTAAAGCCACTTAACAAGTGTCTTTATTTCCAGTCTCTTCCCACTAAGTATGTCTTGCCCCAAATCAAAAAGTAATCTCTCTAGAAAAAATGTGAAAGTGTCATTGTTTTGCTTGGAAGCAAGTCTTTGAAGACTTGCACAGTATCTAAGCACAAAGAACAAACTCATTGGCTTCATATACAACCCAATCCCTCCATCTATGATCCGAACTACTTTTAAAATCTCATCTCCCATTAAAGTACCCAATCTTCTTCTCAATTCCTCTCCTGCAATATCAACCTCACCAGATCAGAGTGCATTCACCAAAGACGTCGTGGACTTTACCTCTCGGTGGTGATTTTGTTTACATTCCCTCTGCCTGAATGTTCCTCTCTTTTTCTGATCCCTCTAATTCCCTACTCAGACAGCACTTTCTCTGTGAAACTTCCCAATCCTCCCTCTCCCAGACTTTGCTGAAATAGTTCAGCAACGCACTCCAACAGTTCCTTGACCAAAGCTTTGTTTTAGCATTCCTTAGGCTGCATTACTTAAAAAAAAAATTCCCATGTGCCTTCTCATCTAATTTCTTAACTCCTCAAAGGTAAGGACTGTGTCTTATCTCTGCACACAGGGCCTAGCACATGGTAGAGACTCGATTGGTGCTTGCTGACTAAATAGATAAAGGACTACTGCGTGATATACTTTTTCTTCCAGCAGCTACTTGGAACTAAGGCTTCTGATTAAGCTGGTATGATGCGGAGGAGATCTCACCACGGTGACTCACCATCCCAGATCAATGGCTTAGGGAGGCTGATCAATGGATTAGGCCAGCTGCACCAGGTGCAGTCCTCCTTTCTCCTACCTAATTTTGCATGTTCAATTGAAAAGAAAAACTGTAGCTACTGTCATGGTTGAGCTATACTGGTAAAGAGGGAAAGATTTTTCACTTTACTCCAAACTGTGATATAAGTCACATGAGACAGAAGGCCCTTGGCTATGTAGCAGCATTATGGGCTTGTACAAATCATTTAACCTCTCTAGGATTTATCTGAAAAAATAGGGGTCTTCATGCTTTGACTGCCACAAGGCTGAGGGGCCAGACTAGACCGACGTATTTTTCAATTCTAAGATCTATGATTCTATTCATCCATCCATCCATCCATCCATCCATCCATCCATCCATTCATGAATGCTTAAGATCTCTTACAGCTCTAATATCTACAATTATACATCTAGGAAAGTTGGAGTCAAAGAAAATGTAAGATGTCCCAAACATTCTGCAAGAATTTACACTGTCGAAAAGAATGACCTGCAGGATATGCAGATTAACAAGTAAGAAGCTCATGAATACTGACAAGTTTCTCCAGATGCTCCTTACACTTTGTGTTTAGTTTCCTTATCTGAATAGTTTGGGATGTCACATTTACTTAAAGGCGACAAACACGCTGTCTGATAAGTAATTTCAAAAGATTTGGAAAATAGAATGAAATTCTAAATCATATTTGAGAACTGTCTGTAGTGAAAGCACATCAACAATAGCGACATTATTGCACACTTAAGTATTTGTTCTGCTTGTTCAGAACAAAGGAGATAGAACATCTAAAGAAATACATAGCTTTGACATGTCAATGATAATTCCAGAGTCTACCTTTGTTTCTGTTGCATGGGTTGTTGTCTCATAGCCATATACTGCATGTCTTCTTGCAGACGATTAAGAGGGGAATCTGGCTTGACACGAATCCCATAGTAATGGTACTTGGAGTTTCCTCTTCATAAAAGAACAATAAACAAAGACACAAAAAGTCAGTCAAGTCAATATTAAAAATACAGGATGTCCATTTAATTTCATATTTGGAAAAATTAGATAAAGGCAAAATATTAATGTTAGATATTTATGATTTACCTGTTCTGGACGCCTCTATATTTTTATGGTGGCTACATTTGAAGAATCAAAATAAGATTCTGAATCAATCAATTCAAGGCCCTAAGAAAAATCTTTCCTTATAAACTTTTGCTTAAATATTAGTAGGAATCCATTTGCTCGATTTAAGTTACATTTTATTTTTAACTTTATATTTTAACTATAATTTGGAAGATTAGATTAACAGGATATTCATTAACAGGATAAAGGGTTGCACACTAACTAGGAATTTATTATCAAATGGTTATGCAGAACAAAGAGAAAAAAATCTTAATTCTACTGTCTTGGAGAAGTCCTGTATTTTTCTAGTTCTACTACTGCAGGGATGATTAAGATAACTTCACTGATACAAGATGTTGTGAAGTCTATTATTTAATATTTTGAAACGTAAAAAAGAAGCAGGCATTTAATCTATTGATTTTCAAAGCATATTTTATTAGTCTCTGTTTTTGTGGATTCATATCAGTTTTTCAAGCTGAATAAGATGTGTCACAACAGACATGGGGAAATTTCTCTGTGAAAATGGCAAATTTCCACCTAGATAAAAAATGTCACAACTTCCTCATGTTCATGAGAAAGACCATATTTGTTATTAGAAATGACAAAGTTTTACTCTGAATGAAATTTGCAAATTCTTGCAAAAATAACATTTTAAACATGTAAATTTTTGCAAAGAGAAAATAGTAGTTTTTCTCAAGTCTATATATAGCAAGACATCAGTGTTCTTTCCAACTTTTTCTTTCATTTACAAGAAGAAATGCAAGTGGAGTGTGGATTCAATATTTTATATAAAAATAAAACAGAATTTTACTTCCAAGATTGAAGAACACACATTAGATGAATCCTATATATTTGAAAAGACATTAAAATCTATTATATAAATAATATTGCTAGTTTAAAAAACATAGGGCATTTGAGGGCTTCCCTGGTGGCGCAGTGCTTGAGAGTCCGCCTGCCGATGCAGGAGACGCGGGTTCGTGCCCCGCTTCGGGAAGATCCCACATGCCGCGGAGCGGCGGGGCCCGTGAGCCATGGCCGCTGAGCCTGCGCGTCCGGAGCCTGTGCTCCGCAAATGGGAGAGGCCACAACAATGAGAGGCCCGCATAACGCAAGAAAAAAAAAAAAAAAAAAAAAAAAAAAACATAGGGCATTTGAATACCTACATAGTTTCAGCAAAATAAACCAGTATGAAAACTTAATGCCTGCCACTTGCAGACATTAGATCTTGCCCCCAAGATCCACTGTAGAATACAGCAAAAAACAAACAAACAAAAATACCAGAAACTGTTCCCATACAAACTGGAGAACAGGAGGGAGTAGCCAATGACAAAGATACAAAGTAAAATCACATCTCTCTTGTGAGACGCCAAAATACACGAAGTACCTAGTTTCTCTCCAGTTTCCTATAAATTGGAATCTTGGATGGGTTGGAGGAGAGGCGGTTCTTTCTATTCCACTGAAGATGGTTGGGGGAAATCAGTATGTTCCATGGTCTTCTTTGTTTAAACTTAATTTGGAGATGGGATGTAACAAAAGCTACCTTTTGATTTACGTTTGTTTAGAAACATGGCGTTATTACTTATCTTTTACTTAGCTCCAGAAACTTGAGCAAAAGTCTGCTTCTGGATTTAATGAATTCACCAGATAATCTTATTGATGGATAAATAACAGTTCACATATGGTTTACTTAAAAAAAAAAATCTGAGTTGGTTTGCCTCATGATTTATACTGATTTTCTTTCTGTTCCCTGGGTGAGGAGTAGAATGAATGCTAAAACAGTTTCCATGGTAGAAAGTACCTCTGGCACTTCACCCCTATCATTGTCAGTTTTTCTACATTAGAGTTCTGCTAGCTTCATAACACAGCATTTGTTAAAACTTTCTCCCTACGATTTCTTTTCTCCTTATTCTTCTAGGCTTTGTTTTCCATCTCTAACTACAAAGACTACATACAATTTTAAAAGGAACAGGATACACAATTGGTACATAGTGAGAGGGGGAAGTAAAGAACATCAGAAAGAAAAAGCTGCAATATTGCAATATGTACTTGTAGAGCATAGAGTATGGATTCTACTCATTCACAAACCCAAACAACCCCAGTTTTGTCCCTTTCTATTTTAAAGATGTGTTTCAAGGTTTGAATGGAGCCTCAAAATAGGATCCATTGAAATCCCTTTCAGTAACAAAACAGGCACAACAATACAGCTATTACAATGCTGAATAAAGCCTAGAGATTCAAAATATTGGCACAGTATGCATAAGTACTGAGCCATCAGCTAGGATATAGTAGGTTAGGTCCCCAAATAATGATTTTCCTGGTTCTGGGGAAAAAAATACTAGCGACACAAGAAGGTTTTTTCAAGGAACTGGAAGCTAGTTCCTTTACTCCAAATAAACAATCATATTCTTCAGTTTAAAATATACTATCCTTCGAAGTACAGATAGAAGAAAATACATTTATGAGAGAACCGAACCTCCAGCAATCTGAAAGCTGTACAATCACTTAAAATGCAACAGAAAGGAATAATTCACACTTTGACTACACACAGACCTTGTAAATATCATAAAACGGCCACACTCCTTTTTTTTTGTATAAATTTATAGTGAAGTCAATTACTGAGGCTCTGTTTATTTTATTAAGAATATTTAAAAAGCTTTACTAGAATACTATGAGGCTGTGACTTATAACTCATTAAAGGTATATCATCTGTCACATACAGTATAGGATCTTTATTTTTATACTTCTAAATATGGATTTTATAAGATTCAGGAAATCAAAAACATCCATATCATTCTGCTCAGCTATTCAAAATATTTGTTATGATAACTTGTAAAAATTATAGAAAGGCAAAAATGAAGCTCTATAGTTCTAAGTATTATTTTCAGCATATTTTGATTAGTAAAAACACTCATATCTATTTACAAAGGAAGGGAACAGAGAAAGTAAGTCTTCTTCATATTACTGGCTTCTCTGCAATGGAACTATACTGTATTTTTACTTCCACAGATGCATGGCTTCACAATCAAGAGTTTAAAAAAGGCCAAAAAGAAGTTAAAAAGGACCAGGTCATTAACTGAGAGCTTCAAACACCTCAAATCTGCAAGTTCACTAAATTATTATTATTATTATTTTTTCTGTCTCTTTGTTCTTTTTTTGGTACGCGGGCCTCTCACTGTCGTGGCCTCTCCTGTTGCGGAGCACAGGCTCCGGATGCGCAGGCTCAGCGGCCATGGCTCACGGGCCCAGCCGCTCTGCGGCATGTGGGATCCTCCCGGACCGGGGCACGAACCCGTGTCCCCTGCATCGGCAGGCGGACTCTCAACCACTGCGCCACCAGGGAAGCCCCACTAAATTATTTTTAATTGGTCTCCAGAAATGAAATGGAAAAACTCAGCTTTAATTTTTACTCTATTCAAAAAGAGGAGTTTTTTATAAAGACATTTCAATGTAATTTTGCAAGTCAAGAGATACAGTTTTCCACTTAACTTTGTCACTTTATTCATCATCTTTAGTACGGTTATTCTTCAAAAGAGAAGACAGTGATATATACTAATTTTTAAAGTATCATATATAAATCTTCCATTAATAGCTTGGTCTGCTCATTTCTATGTGATTTGAGAATCAGTTTTTCTCAAAGCTTTGTTTACTCTGTTGATGTTTAGTAGGACAATGCATCATACTGGAATGGCAGTTTTCAGTGAATAATGACCTTTCCTTTTCCTGGGGGATTTTATACACTGAGCTAATTCTTTAGTTTTTCTTTATATGTTATCTGTAATCAAGTACTTTTGCCCAAACAATATGCTGAACTATATTGTTTAAAGCTATAGCTTAAAAAAGAGAGATTAGTTTATGATATTATTTCTAGTACTAACCTGGTTCCCAATCTCCTGGTTCGTAGCCCCATAAAAATTGACCTTATAAGTTTTCCAAAAGAAGCAGCATTGACTGGGTCCAGTTTGTGTTCCTGACAGTGTCGTAGGTAGTGGTTGTAAAGAGTGCTTCTGGGAAGGCTCACTCCTTCTGCTGTCTCGTAATTGTCCAACAGCCACTGGAGCTAGTATAAACAAGACGGGGTAAACACAGAGAAACTAAATCATTCACCAAAATGTCTCTAAGACACTGAAACTGTAATACACAGAAACACTTAGAAGATCTTCCTCAAGCCATGTAATAGGTAAACTGTTGGAATTCAGAGGACTGTGTAATCTGACTTTGAAAACTCTCAGAAGTGTAAATAGCTGACCGTCATTTATTGACCTCAGACCATGTCCATTCCTTCAAACATTCAAGCACATATAAAGACATACTAATTTTCCTTGTATTGATTGCTATTTTGGAGACAAATACCTCTTCAAGGACCTCAAATAATCCCATTAACTGGTTATAAATATAATTTATAATTGTATAGAAAAAAAACATGTTACCAAGCCTGGCAGCGTGGCACATAATATGTCTTTACTGTTGGTTTGTTACAACACATGAACAGCAGGCTGCCTTGTATAATTATTTACACTAAGGTTCTATTCATTTTTATAGAACTCTAATTTATTTATCCAATTTACTTATAAAAGATAATACAATAACGGTATTATCCACTGGGACAAATTCTACAAACAGTAAGGAAAAATTTCAGTCTTTTCTTCCCCAGAAAGAAAGAAACTCCCTAGAGACAGGTTTAAAAAAATACATGTAATGAAAAGGAATAATTTACTACAATCATTTGAGTTTTTCTACCTCAAAGCTATGTTTTTTCATAATTTTGGAAGACATACTACAATGGTAGTTGGTAAAGCAATGTTTTCTCAATCTATAGTTCACATTTTAAAGTTTTATGTTGTTCCGTCTGAATTTTTAAAAAATAATCTGTAAAGTACATAATGTGCAGGAAATTTTTAGAAAAATCTAATTTCTGTATATAGTACTGAGTTTCAACATTAGAAAAATCAAATTATCAATCTGTTCATTATTTATTTATAAAAGGAGAACTGAAATAGGTTTAAATGACTTTCTTAAGGCCATACATACACTGTCTCAGTGCTTGATCTGGTTTCCAGCACACTTTCCTGATTATTTGCATACCAGTTATTATTTCTACAAAAGCAGCATATATGTCACATTACTTGTCTCAACCAAATTTCCATGCCATATATAGAAGGTGTGATAAAAAGGTGATATTCTACATGCAATTCAAGTTAAATATAAGTTATGGAAGGAAAACAATTCCTTTACTGAGCATCAACTATCAGTCAGGCAATGTGCTAGGCTCCTATGGATGTAAAAATGAATGTGACCTCACTCCTGTCCTCCAGGAATTTATAGTCACATACTAAAAATGATAATAAGAACACTCAAACTAAAGCATTTCTCCATTTTGCTTACATATTTTAAGATTTGTGATCAAGCTTAGAACCTACACTTTCAGACTCTTAATAAGAAAATCCACTAAAAATACTGTCAGAATTATTTTCTTTAACCATGACAGCTGAATTTTCCAGAACAATTTTAATTTCAAATATTCCTACATGATATTTATGTAATTAAACATGTCATTAAACCTATACTTGATGTTGGCTTAGAAAATATGGCCACCAAGCCTATAAGACAGAGCAGAGTAGTTTTAAAAATAAAAATAAAATTAATGTTCTGGTCAGGAAGCCTTTAGGTTCTCTATGAACCACATATGCATATGAATACATTTAAATATACCTATTGCCTCTGAACATACACAACGCTCCCCTATGAAATTTTTAAAAGATTACACAAAATAAACATTCATTTTTATAATGGCCAAAAAATTTACAGGTCAAAAAAAATTCTTTTCATATGAATCATCTGTAACCTTACTGTCAGTAAACAAGTTTTCCAGAGGCATTCACACATGATTTCTGAGTACTCTACATGACACATAGAATGAGTTCACATATACATATTCATTTAGTGTAAAGAGAGGTGGTAAACTGATTGGAAAATCCTATAAAGGCTCAGACTAGTATTCTGCCTACAACAGTGGGTCAGTAAGTCTCTAGTGTTCCTTTTGAAATTTTAAGACTTTGTTGATTATGAAACAACTGACAGAGACGACACATAAAATGTGGCAAAGCAAACCTGCCTCACATATTTTATCCACGTGCCTCAGTAAGATGATTGGGATCTGAAAGCATTGTTTCCTCATTTGAATGGTGTTAGGACAGCTCTAGTGAACCATACTGCACACAAATGATGGCTCTTGTTTTGTGTACATAAACTAGATAGAGCCTTCCATTGGTATTCTAAATATATAAAGAATATAGAAATAAAGAATATTGAAATACAGAATATAGAAAGGAATATTCTATGAGGAATTTAATCCCTTGAGATCAAGGAATATTTTTTAAAAACACCATAAAATGGGCAAGCATATAAAAACTATAAGTATTTTTTGAAAAACGGTAATATTTTGCAACTGAACTAATGAAATGCCCACATCCACAAGCATCGAACAATGTCAGTAAGTTAAAAATGTCACAGATATGTTTGTATGTATGTCTATGTATCCTCAAATAATAAGGCATATTGTCAAAGCCAAAATGGTATATTTCTTAACAAAAAATAAAAATCAATAAAAAATCAAATATTTCTTCCTTTGCTAATGAACAGAACATATATCTATATAGGAAACTTTAATTTAAAGGGCTTTTTTTTCAGAAATGGAAAAATAATCAATTTCATAATGTGAACTTTATAACCAAAAGTATACAAATAATAAAATAGATCTGATGTAAAATACTTTAAATAAGATATAAATCAAATGAAAATAATTTGTTTAATTAATCAGATACAACTTAAAAATTTCTGTAAACTGCCTTAAGCGTTTACCTTGCAATATTTAATTACTTAAAAGTAAAGACAAATATCTAAAAATGAGAGTTTATTAATATCTCATGATCCAGGGCTTCCCTGGTGGCGCAGTGGTTGAGAGTCCGTCCGCCTGCCGATGCAGGGGACGCGGGTTCGTGCCCCGGTCCGGGAAGATCCCACATGCCACGGGGCGGCTGGGCCCGTGAGCCATGGCCGCTGAGCCTGCGCGTCCGGAGCCTCTGCTCCACAGCGGGAGAGGCCACAACAGTGACAGGCCCGCGTACCGCAAAAAAAAAAAATAATAATAATAAAATAAAAATAATAAAATAAAAAAAATAAAATACTCATAAGCCTGAATAATATTACTCATAATAATACTCATACACCTGAATAAAATTACTCAAGCCCCCAGTGAATAACCTGGAGAAAACGAAGGTTTTATTGGATTGGCCACATGGTCCTCCAAAGTGGCTAAGCAAGTCACAGAATCTGGACTGGCTCTTTCGCAAACTGATTGTTCTTCTTACATAATTTTACATTCTTAAAGATTTTTCTTCATTTCTAATCCAGTTTTTAAAAATCTGAGTTTATCTGTAATATGTATTTGTGTGTCTGTGTGTGCACACACACACACATATGTGTATACATATTTACATACACATGTGTATATATAAATATATATAAATATAAATATAAATATATATATATATATATATATATAAAATCATTAGTTGGTTTGAAAAAGTCCACAAGAGTGGGTATGCAGGTATTCTAGTGACTATCACTTTTACAGTAGCAAAGCGACACTTTGTTCCCTGTCCTTTGCTTGCAGGAGGAGGAACTCTTATTCCTTCCCAGAAGCCTGGAGATCACTTGGGAAGGGCAGGAGGTCAAGCGGAGGTAAAAGCCCTGAAGGATGGAGGTGGCTCTGCTGCAGCCATGACTGCTCCAGCTAGGAAGCCTGCCAACAACTGCACACCCAGGAGTAGTGCTCCCAGAAATTGACTGTGTAAGTGGAAATTAGTCTAGGAGCTACCAGATAAGATTTTGAGATTTAGCTGGGGATTAATCTGCATTCTACATGCCAGTATTTAACCTTTGAGTTTTGACACGGTGATAAAATTCTGTCAGATCTTTGAGTCTAAAACATAGTATAAGAAAGGATTAATTTTTATTATAAGAGAAACTTGGCAGTTAAGTGTAACCTGAAGGTATACACTCCATGTGCTGCCCCAGGGAAGTTCATGCCTATTGTAAGATATATTGTTTCCTTGGATTTCCTCTTTTATAAAATGTATTTGGACACTAATTCAATACCCCTAACATTTAGTAATTTAGAAATAAGTATTGCTATTTCTTTTACTCTTTTGTAAGATGTCTTATAAAATATTTGTTTATATTTATGATTTTAAAAGCCCATGAAATACCATAGGAACTTTTAACCTTTATATTTAAAACCTGATTATTCTACTAATGAACTAATGTAAATTCATGTAAGAGTAGAAACCAAGATAATTGCATCTTTCAACCTTTGCATTTAATCTATATTAATCAGGGTAGATTAAGGAAGATGAACAGTTCCTATTTGTCCCAAAGGGAAATACTGATTGACAAATTAAAAAAATATACATTATTGCATTCCCCAATTAACATCTAAATGTAACATTTGGCATTTTTCCCCAGATGGATTATTATCCATTAGGATTCATTTTAAGTTCAGTTCACTAATGATATGCATTTTGACAGGTCTTATTTCCATCTGTAAACTTATATTTACAGCACAGCCAAGTCAAGAGAAAGTAAGCATAAAACAAGGTTTTGCTTTGAGCTGAATATATTTCAGTAGCCAAAACCAGCAAAAATCATGAAATGATTATTTGCTAGATAGTAAAAGGTATATAAAATAAATGCCTAAAGCTTTTTATATACTTTAAATGGAATTTTAAAATGCACAAGCTGAAAAACATTACGTGAAATTTGGGAACAATTAATTTAAGAATGCTTCTGTATTTAAATTTATAATCTAAAATATCCCAAATTTGATACAATATAACCATTAAATGCCAATTTATATTATTTACAACTGAGAAGAAGTATAAAATAAACTTAAGTCTGCAATGAAGAAAATTAAGATATTCTAATTTGATTTAGGCAGACTACACATAATTTACCCGTAACATCTTCACATGCCAAAAAATTTAGAAATAAAAATATTTAAATTAAAAAAACTAAAGGTTGTACACGGGGAAATGATAGCTCAGCCATACATTCTTTCACTCAAATGGTGTGCAGGGAGAACACTGTCTTATCAACAATGCTCACACATACACCTAATTGAAGCATACTTGGTAAGAAAGAATGCACGTGTGAGCCCCCACATAAATGCACACATGATTGGGAAAGGTACTTAGAATACAGAAGGCAAAATAAGGTCTGTTCCCTTCTATTACTTGTCTCTTACATTTATTCACTTAGCAAATATTTAGTGAGCACCCACTATGTACCTGGCACTGTTCTAGGCACCAGGGGTGCATCAGTGGATAAAACATAAAATCCTTACTGTCTTGGAATTTTCACTTGTCAATAAATATTTACTGTCTGCCTATATAATGCTACTACTGGAATAAGTGCCATTATGTTAATAACGTTAATAGAAGGGAACATGGCACTCAGTGTAACTGTACTCAGTCACAGATGAGGCACTATGTTGGGTATGAAATAGGCAAGTTATACATGCATTTTGACCTGGATGCTAAAAATAGAGCAGCACTACAAAATACTCTTAAGAATATGTTGAAAAAGGGATATAAAATTTAATACCTCACTAAATCTTCTAATGTGTAGAAAGAGAGGTGAAAAACAAAGAAATCAAGTTGGATTATACCAACAGGGGATTATTTATTTGATTTTATCCTAATAAGAATTTTCCAAATTATTGTGAATAATCAAATATATAAAGAGAAAATAGAAAATCCATCTATTCCACATTGCAAAATAGAATGACAACAGACTTTCAGCTCAAAAATCATGACTAAGATCCCTCTTCGGAAACTAGTAAGTACGGGACACAAATTATTGATAATTTCTCCTAAATTTTGCCTAATGAAATTGATCCTTTGTAGAAACTGATGTCAGGGAACTATTATCATAAGGTTGAATTTATGTCCACTTCAAAGAATCCCACAAACCTCAAATGATTCTATATTATGTGCTATATAGGAAGGGATAAAGATAACTTACAGCTTATTAACATTTAAGTTGTTAGCCATATTTAAATTAAAAGAAACCCTCGCCACTAAAATTCTTCTACACAGCTGAAAATCATCAATTAGGTTTTAACAGAATTTAAAATACCCTTAGCAGGTGATTATCAACTGGAATGCATGTAGTAGCTTATGCCAGTTGTTTGGATAAATCTAACAAAAATTAGGAGCACCGCTAATTTTCCAAGGACAGAAAGACAGCATGATCTTCTAATGGGTTCAGGTGGAAACAAAACCTGACTGGTCAGCAGAAAACACTGATCCCTTCTCCACTGTTTATAACCATCTGTAGAATCCTTTGTATTTCCAGAGACTTGACTATAAATGTGTTGTTTTTAAATAAACTTAACTGTACCTCAGAGGTGTAATAAAAGTGAATCAGGATATTTAGAGAAAGATTATCACTACATTAGCAACATTTATGCCCACTCTCTATATACTGAAATGCCTCTGGCAGTTATAAACAGTATGGAAGAGTTGCCATGCTATGTAAATAAAAAGTACAAAGCCATAGAGTAACAAACATGTATCTGTTGTTTATGCAGCTTAATTCACACATTCATTAACATTAAATATTACTTCATGAATTTTACAAGAGAATAACAATGAAAAAAAACATATTTGAAAAGTTTCAAAAAACCAAGAAATAAAAATATACAAAAATGTTCTTATATCCACATTATTGTTCATAAAAATACTAATTAAGATGCGTAACTCAAGTTAAAATTAAACATATCACATATTTTACTAAAGTATATATCTCAAATGACAAAGAGATGTGAATTGAATATCAAAGCACAACTTCATAGAAGTCTGAAAGTTCAAAAAAGGTAACTGGAAATTTCAGGATTCTTTTTCTTATATCCCTGCACATTTTCAACTAAAAATGAACAACATTTTCCCTTGCCATTTTCAAAACAAAACACCAGATGGTCCTCACCCCCTCCCCAAAACATATATCCTAAAAGTATAGAGTAAATCGGCCTCTACACACAACCACAGACTCATGCTAGCACAGCAGGAA